CGCATTCTTTAAAGCTCAACGACAAGTTTCTTCATATTCACGCTTTCCTCATTCGCCTCCAACGCCTGTTTACAAATTGCCAATTGGCTCCGAGTCGGTCTGAAATCGCGTAGTAAACTCCGACAAACAATGCGCTACTACCGTGTAGCTTTCGCGACATCTTTGACGATCGCGCTGGTTCGCTGGTCGAAAACCTGCGATAACACCAGAAGCTTAGCAGTGTTCCCACAACAGGAACTCGCCCCTGAAGGAATATATCCATTGCAAGGGAGTTATGGGCCATACTCCGCCAGCTACAGCACGCGACGGGCAATGGATAAGGACCACCCTAGACGAGAATGATCTCTTTAATCACCTACTGCTTTAACGAAAGGCAAGGTGGACCATCTCCCAGTTCGCTGGATTGACAGTGACAGTACGGTTACGAACCACGGCTCTTGACGGCGTACAGCGTTAACGTATGAGCCGCGGGGATGTACGGCTTTGCCCAGGGAGACTTGTGTCTCCGACCCCTTACTCTACCTTACAAAGTAGTTGTAGGCAGCGTTACAATTCCTAGCAAAAAGCGTACAAAAAGCGTATACATACTTAGCAGTCTTCATCTCAATTGGCGAACTTGGATAGTACTAAAGCCGAAAAGCTGGTAATTATTTCGGCCAGCAAATCCAGAACTAAGCGTGGTCCTGCTGAATATTTTGGCATGAAGTATATCTACTCTATCAACCGAATGGATATTCTGAAAGTGCAAATAGTACGACCGTCATAGGACGTTCATATCTATCCATTTTGATGCCAAGCACTTTTCTAATAGCGTTATCGCTGGCTCTTTTAGCACTCATGGAGGGGTTGTTGGGACGAGAGGTGTTGTGACCGGTGCAGCGGAATTCGGGCAGATACACGCGCCTCCGTTCGTAACCGATGACAGAGGCGGAGCTGTGCAATGAGCACTGGCTGTCCAGGGTTGCGTGGATGTTGTCGGGGTCGGAACGATTTTCTCGGCCTTGACGAGGACTGGAATGACTGCTCCAGTGGCTAGTGAGAAGACCTGATGATTGAGCACCCGCAACAACGACGCAGCCTCACCCGAGTGCGTAGTGATGGAAATGAAAAGCCCATGCTCAGTCTCGAGGACGTCATCCAACGCTTTGCGGCTCCGCACATCCTGCGCAGAGTTTGTCTCGGCCGCCACGCCGTTCCACAACTCATCATGCTCGGTGAAGCCTGCCTCGATGTGATAGCTTGGAACAAGGTTGTGGATATAGGTCTTGTTCCGGCGCTGGTCGCACGTGTGGATGCTAATGCTTTCACGGAAATTCTCCTTGATGGTGGGTACGAAGTTGTCCAGGTTCAAAGTGCTGAAGGTCAAGTTGACTGTCTGCAAGCACCGACTTAAAGGACTAACGAAGAATGCGTCTGGCGTGTGGATTTTCTGGGTATTTATCAATTTGGCCCAGAGTGCGTTGGCTTCAAGTGCCTGCACTACACCATTCGAGTCCAACAGTGCATCATTCCAAGTATTGGTTGCGTTGCCGTTTAGCTCAGCCCAGTAACACTGTCGGTGACATTAGCACTCGTCATTGGATGCCCTTCAGGGGGCCGCTTCAAGACAAACGGGAGCAAATTTACATTCCAAGCTGGGGTGCCGTAGTAGTCTTCGGCGGCGTTGTGATAACCTTCCCCGTGCCGACCAATGAACAAGACCTTGTAGTCAATATTCTTGGGTGCTTCTCTATTAAGCCTTTGGACCTCGAGGTAGAATTGCTCCCATTGGCTCTGTGAACCTTCGAGGGGGTCCATTGAGTACGTTCGGTTAATCAGACCAAAATTGGTATCGATCTGGACATAGCACAGTATGATGAGTCCTGGCATTCAATTACGATGTCGCGAGACAATACTTACATAACTGAACGTCGAGGCGTTAGTGGAGGGGTCATCTTGGAGGAAGTAGCCGCCCACAGAGGTATAGTTGGTATAAGAGCGGGCGCATCCGGCTTCTGCCGTGAGGGCGAGTAAAAACCACGCTGATGCAAGGAACAACATTATATCGCGAGAATCTTATGGAAATATGGAATGAAGAAGCATAAAAATCTGGCGAGCGCTACCAACTGTAATTATACATGTCGATCTCGGACGTGCGTTGACGTCGACTCCCAAAGAGGCAGGTGATTTTTCATTTTGGGAATGGAGAATTCATGAGCCCGAGAGATTATACGACGCCAGCTCCGACCGACGTTCACTGGCCAAGACATGCAACACGTGGGCGCATTAATAAAACAAGGATCCTGTGCTGCCTGGCTGCATCAGGCACTTCAGACATTTTCTTCAATCCTACAAGAGTACCTACCAATTACTCTTGAGTCACTATGATATTATCGTATATGACAATTTTCAAGCTCAATGTATCGAAACAAATTCGAATGAGAGTGTTGATGCGAGACATTGAAATCGGACCCGAGAAGAGAGCTCAACACAACTATCACAATGGTTGTTATTGAAAGCCTGAATATACACTAGCGATTGATATAGCTCTATGCTCTGGGGCTTCTGTTGTTGTCGCCAATTACATATTCGAAATACTCGGACATAGGCCGCTTATCAACGAATTCCTTACACCTCCAGACAAAGTCAATCATCGCACAGCAGTAGGGGTGTCTGCCTAGCGAACGGTAGACCATTGACAAGAGCCGAGTAATTGGTTCGACGATGCGGGAAAACCTCTTTGTAACGGGTATGAGCCTGGCCATGACATAGGATATTCGAAGAATGGGTTTCGCACTAAGACGGCGTTTCGGTGTGGGAATGATCGGTGACGAGGAGAAGGCCGCCGTACTTGGTCTCTTGTGCTGGATGCTTTCACGGAAGTCTGAATAGCGACCAAGTGCACAAGAAGCCCTAAATACGGCCTGGATCAAGTAGTGGCCAATACTGGCGTATGAGAGGACTCCAAGGTCTTGTGGATGAGTTTGGCGTGGTGTAGAGAAGAGCTGGTAAGAGGGGTCATCAATCGTGGCCCTTAAATAGACTCAATACTACTCCAATCTAGGGGGAAGTCCTCTACTGAGTATTCAGTAGTGATGATGCATTAGATTGCTGTTGAGTCAGTCACTGCATCTTGAAGAAATTTGCTCGCAGTCTCTGGTTTACATCTCGGGGCGGCGCGGCTGAGAGATCATATGGGGGATGCAGGACCGCGCAAGAAACAGTAGATCGCCAAACAAGAATTATTAACACATTTTCGCTCTGTAAACTTCGCCGAAACAATGAAGCCTAGTGATTTTGTCATCATACTGCGAAGGCAGTGCAATATGAGAAATTGGGCACTGGAAGGGTTCGCCCCTTTCTGTTTTATCGAACCGCATAGCTAAGGCAAATCTTGCCACCATCATCTAGAATATCAGTCTAAGCTGTCCAAAAACCCCGTTGCTGTGACTTAGTTTCCAACATTACTGAAGCGCGCTTTCTAGTCTTCAACCTCTGGATTAGCCTCTAAGATCGAAGAGGCTGCGTCCGGGCAATCGACATAATCAACAACAGTTGGCTGTTTGTAGGGTTTGACATCCGTCGTTTGGCCACTGTCCATACCTTCCCCCTGACCTTCATGCCAGTCATCGTCCTGTTCTTCCTATTCCTCGTGTACTTTGTCCCGACATCCGTCGTCGTCGTCGTCATGCTCTTGGCCACTCTCCTTCCGGATCAAAGATTGGGTAGAGCTATCCTCTGTATCTGGTTTATTAGAGGTCGCATCGTCTTCGTCGTCGCGAGCGACAGAGATTTCTGTTTCGTCCGCGACAAATAGCGTAAAGTTTATCCCATTGATAACTGGATGATAAGGTTGCTGTCATCGCGACATGATAGACATATGCTATGCTTCCGCATCGCTCCCCCTCAAGACTGATAATGTTCGTGTGGCGAAGTACCTTTGCACTGGCTTCCATACCTCTGTATACATTAATGTGAGCGATATAATCACGAGGCCAAGACATGTAAATATTATGATAACCCAGAGTATAAGGTCCAACAAGTTCTCCCCCAGCCATCTGAAGGCACCAGCTAATCGGAAGTTAGATGAATCAGTCACGAAGCTGAGTAGTTCAAGCGATTCAAGAATACAACGACTTACCGAGCCAGACCGAAGGGCGCATCATCTTGTCCGCGCTTGGTAAACGATTGAAGAATGGAGAGTTTACAAAACGTTAAGAAATTTCGAAAAACATAAATTATAATTGTGCGTATAGCAGGATGCTTGCCATCAACCTCTCGCGTCGGTCTAACAAACTTCATAGGTAAACTTTTAGGTCAGAGTAAACTTAGCCCAACATATCCTGCACTTAGTTACTTAAGTAAGTAACATTGATCCAAGGAAGTATATCAAAATCTCGAGGACTTTTCAAAGCATTTCAAATTTTGCTTAATTCCTTATCCCGCGGTGTTGCTGGGTTTGATGAGGTTATATAGCTCTACCTACCTCCATGCGTCCCGTCGCTCCAGTGCCAGTCTGACTGACATTTCAGTTTGAACTCATCTCCTGTCAGCTGACATGCCTATTGGAACCCGAGTGGTACCCAGCAATCAAAACAAAGCTCTCGCCAGGATAATTGAGGGGCAGTTGAACGGCGTGACGTCTATACACTCCATAGTCAAGGGCATGATTGAGGAGGTATGCTACCTGATTGCCTCAATTCTGTTCCGAATATTCAGAGGATCCAGTTTCATCAACGCAGGTGCTTGCTTTGCCATACATTTTCGATACTGGAGAAGGCAAGGGGGATAGATCTCTTGGCAATGCTGCTGTCGCTTAAGGCTGAGGAGGAGAGCCTCTTGTAATGCATATTCTCTTTATATTAATATATGACTTGGTACTATGCAAAATAGAAAATAATTACGCCTACTCTGTTCCTTAGTCCTATCTACCTATAAAAGGCTTTCAATCTCATCATTATATAGGTAAAATTAAAGAAATATCAAGTATAAAATGGTCACAAAAAGTAAATTAAAAAGAACGATCAGAACGGGACTCGAACCCGCAATCTTTGGTATTCTAGCTGATGCTATACGCCGTTGCGTAGCGCCGGAAACCAACGCCTTACCATTAGGCCATCCAACCTCTCGGCACTCGGGAAGAATTAGTTCTTAACGGGGTACATTTCGGCTCCTGTCTCGGAAACTGGCGAATAGGGAGCCTTTGTGGAGATCCTCCTGCGCCAAAACCGGTAAATAGGAATCCTCTATACTAAAAGGGAAAGAAAAGCGGGTCAACGGCCCGCTAAATGGGGTAAGACTAAAATATAGCGATGGTTGTTCTGGATGTTTCATATCTTTGCGGGATCCCTCTTGGAACCTCTTTAATCTCTGGTATTCCTTCCCCAAACTTGTCTTGGCAAGAAAATGGCCGAGCCAAGACCATTCTACCATTGGTGTATATGTAGGGCCTATTCAGAAATGTATAGAAACAACTGGTTGTGGCTCAAGTAGTTCCTTAAGGGTGACAGAACCGCCGAGACAGCTAAAACATGTCAGTGCATCTCTAGTTGGAAATATGTCGCTTGTACTGTCTTTTCCTCCTTCAATCTGTCAATATCCTCGCCATAGCAGTTGTGAGATATACTATGATTCTTAAGATAGTAAACAGACTTTGCCCATTGTGTTGTAATGTAACACTAGATATCTAGGCTTTCGACATGGGCCAAAGAAAACCTCAAACCATCTCACTGCAGAAGTCGAGACCAACATCCCACACCTGCACAGCGAAGAACTTCTCAGGAAGAACATGCAATATGACATTCGCTACGGCCTCCAATCTCAAAAGACATGTCCGCAGGAAGCACCCGGACGCCAGCACCGGAACCGTCAGCTCTCGGTTCGTACACATGGTCCCGCGGACCGCGGCCAGCGACGACATGTCACCCCAACTAACCGAACTTCAAATCGACCCCAGAACCACGCCGGAGACCTATCAAGAGAAAGTCGCCAACATCAACCGCTTCCACGACCCCGACAGTGGCGAGCACGCACGGCAACAGGCCGATAGGTCCATGCACGCGCTGCAAGCAATACCGGTATACGAGTCCAGGCGCTGTCGCAAGCATACCAAACAGATAAGAGCCCTACAATGGATCTCGCAAGACGGCGCCGACAAGTTCGAGGAGCACCTCTGCAAGATTTTGGCAAGTTGGGGCGTCACGCCGGCCTATACTTCCAATTGCCTACTAATATCGGCGGACTGGGCGAACCTGGACCCAGCCAAAGTAAGGTCGACACCACATACCAGAGCCCGCTAGTTGTACCGCACAGCTAATTCACAACCACGTAGATCATGTCTCTCTTCAGCTTCCAAAGCTGCCCATCGAAAACCACACCCCTCCCGGTGAGTGACACCTACTTTCCACATCCCAAAGCTCCTGGTGCTAACTAGTCAGCCTTACCGCTATGCGAACCACCAGACGAGCCTAGCACGCGCAATCGCATGGTTCTCCAAGTGGCCACGAAACGGCGTGGAACTGGACAACTTCACGGGGGCTGGGCCGTTCAAAAAGATGCACGCTTCACATCGCTGCCACCAAGCCAACTGCATCATCCCAGCACACATCGTATACGAGCCCGGAGAAGTCAACGAAGGCCGAAAACGCTGTCATACCAAGGCGATATTCTTGCGCTCTTACGGTTTGGAAGTCCCGGAGCTCTGTGCCGAACACTCTCCGCCGTGTATGCTCAAGGTAAGTCTGCGGAGCAAGCCAGTACGAAGCAGCAAAAAACCCTATGTGCCGTACAAGGAGTGGAACACCCGCCCGCACCAGTCCTTCTCACACTCTACCTCCCCACGCCATGAACCCGGCTCCGAAAGCACAAAGCACTACCGGACCTAGCTGTCTTCCGAAGATGATAGTATACCTCCCATCAAGTGAATCCGGACCACTGACGAAACACCACAGCTTGCCTCGAGGACCATGTACGAGATCTGCCTGATACAGTTCTCAGTTTTACGATTAGCCAGGGGACTAGAAGAACCATTGGGACCCCCCAGCCGGCCACCCTGGCACAAATACAACACATTCCAGCACGAGGCTTCTAACAAAAGCGCCAACATACCGGGGCTGCTACAACGACCACGACCGCATCACCTCCCAAAGCGTCCAGAAATGATATGTCGCTTCTGCAAAAAGACAAAGGCGTTCCACCGCGTTACGAGTCTCTGGGTCCACTTTATCCTCGAACATGGAAACTTACCCGAAGGCGTCTTACTAGACGAGGTGAAACAGACCACGGCTGCCTGGAAGCGCTACCAAGAGCAGGTGCCGGATGGCTTTAAGCGGAACTGCGTGTACTCGGAAAGACTCGATCAGATTGGCGCCGAAGGATTCTCGTGGGGGGACGTTCTGGCCTGGAACCTGGTTTAGAACCATCAAATAACCATGGCTGCCGATGCCCTCGCTAATTATCTGAATACGGACCTTGAGAAGCATTCTTGAGGCGTGGGGATGTCCAATGTACACACAGGGAGCCAAGATCACGTGTAAACTCGTTCCGATAGAATAATCGTGATCGGACATAAGGAGCATACCTACAGTACTAGTTAAAACCCTCACCTGAGTGAATGCTCCTTGTCATTCTCTGGCCGCATAAGCGCCCAAAATGCTCTCCTCATAGTTGACAAGTGCATTGGCAGTAATCAGGTAGCAGCCAATATAGGTCGAACTGTCTGAATTGCATAAAATCATCTATATTGTCAGAAATTTAGCACAAGTTGTCTTGTCTTTTCTTCTTCTTCTCTCGTCCTCCGAGTTTCCAGTTCTACACAACCAGTCAAGAAGGTAATGAGCAAGTGAAATTTTCGACGCATACATTCCTAGCGAGGCAGCGCGAGACACCTGACACACCACGCCAAAGCCCTCAAATAGGACTTTGACATTTGCTAAGGCCTTCAAACTCAAGGAATCTATCTATGAAAACGTACTAGCCCCGAGGACTTAGGTGTTTACAGTGATGGTAACGGTAGCAAGGAAGCAGTGGTAATGGAGATAAGCATACATGTCTACTATGTTGGATCTCGTACAAATTACCAAGAAAATCTATACTGATAGGCTTTATAATAGCTTACGCAAAATGAATATCTATAGATACCTATAGTCGGATTAGGTAATCTATTGTACTTAGCTGCATTTAGCTGTATCTAACCCAAATAAAGTATACAGTTGCAAAAAGATACCCATTTGTAAGTACCTAATTTGATGTTATCGAAATGGTGCTACGCTTAGGTTTCTCCCCTTTATAAGCTCTTGCAGAACGTTTATTGATATCCATTTGTCGGCGGCTACCTACATAGTTAAGTATTAAAGTGGGTAGATATATGTACCTAATTAAAGTAATAATTCTATGGGTGTAAAGGTAATAGTGGGGAATTTAAATACTTACGCTTTAATTGTTTATTATGAAAAATCGGCAGCTTTATTATATAGCTTATTTAATTTAAAACTTTCCTAAAATTGTTTGTTTTTTAAGGCATAACTAAGTTGTTTTAAGTTTATAAAGTTTTAAAACCAGTAAAAAATGTAGAAAAATATTAAAATATTAATATATTTAATCGTAATTTTAATTATTAAAATAAAGCTTAAGAATTATAATTTAAATATAATTAATTATAATAAAACTGCAATTTTTAAAGCTTATTATTTATTAAATAATTATATTTAAAATTATATTTAATAGGGTTTAAATAACTTTATAAAGTTTAAAATTAAAGAAAAAAAATGTATGTTAATTTTTAATTTAACTTAATGTAAATAAAGCTATTATATATAAAGTTAATAATTATATAACTTTTAATTATAAACTTTATTTTATTATATTAATTTATTTTTATTATTATATATAATATATAAATAATTAAATGCTTTTATTTATAATAATTTAAACAAACTAAGCTAGTGAAGTTTAATTATTAGCCATTAATTTAAAAGATAAATAACTCGGGAAAAGTACAGCAAAAAGCATAAAACCATTGGTTAAACTTAACAAACATATATAAATGAATATATAAGCAAAATATAAATTGTTATAAAAAAATATAAGAAAAACCCCCCAAAAATATATATAAAGTCGATTGTTTTTATATATTTAAACTAATATATAAACTTTTCGTTTTATTTTAATAATATATCAAAAAAGCTTAATCTTTAAAGCTTAATAAAAAATAAAAACTTTATAATATTTTATAAATATTAATAATAGAAAATAATAATATTTAACCTATTAAATATAAATAAATAAAAAATATATTATTTTTATAACATTTATAATTTATTTTATAATATTATATCAATTTAAAATAGTTTACTAAATAATATAAAAATATAGAGTAAACTTTTTATTTAAATTATATAAACTTATTTAATAATAAATATTATATTAAGTTTAATATAATTATGTTTATAAAAAAAATATATTATTATAACTTAATTTTTATAAATTAGTTTTAATGGCTAAATATTTTTTTTTACTTTAACGATATAAACAGTTATTATTTTATTATATAATTAACCTTGTTTATTTTTAATAAACTTAAAAAAGTAAAAATATATTTTGTAAACTTTTATTTATTATAATAAACAATTTTAATAGTAAGTTTAATATAACTTTTATAACTTTTTTTATATTTATTAAATTAGCTATGATATTAATTAAAAAATATTTAATATTTATAAATTAAATAAATACTATTAATTATAATTAAAAATATAACTTAAGTTTTTAAACTAATGTTTATTAAACATTTAATAACGCTATATATTATGTTTTATAATAAGTAAAAAAAGTTATAATTGTAAATAACTTATTTAAACTTTAAGCAAAAGTTTTTTTTAAAACAAATAAAATATTAATTATATATTATATTTATAATATATACCATGAGTTTTAATTATTAAAAGCATTTAAATAAATTCGATAATATATTATATATTTATTTAAATAATTATTTTAATATTATTAAGTTAATTAGCAAATTTAAGTAAAATAAATATAATAAACTAATATATATATTATATTATATTAACGTAAAAAAACTTACTTTATTAATAACTAGCAGATAAAATTTTATTAATAATAAAT